AAAAATAAGAAAATTAAAACTAAGGAAAAAAAAAAAAATAACATGCATACCTATATACAATCAGGCGAGAGAACTCCAGGAGAACCCTGCGCTACTCTTCCAACCGCGTCACTGGTACTAAAGCCAGCGGAGATTGGTCGAGAGCACTTTAGCCACATACACACATGTCTTGAGTGAAGAATCTGGCCATTGCCAGAACTCCAATTTATATAATTTACAAAAGGTCGCGAGGCCACTGCCGTTTCAACCTTCTTGGAGGATTATAGGGATGGGAGATGCTTGATAGGGATTGTGCAAGAGGATTTGGGTGGTAAGTAAGGTTCTGGTGAAATTTGGAGAACTTTTCTGGGATAAGGTCTAGGACAAATGGGATGTTAAGGTCATGATGTAGGGTTTTGTTGGATACATAGAAAGGAGCATCGACTATTGTTCGAAGGACTTTAGACTGGAAGGATTGGATGCGCTTGATGTTAGAAAATTTTGCTGATCCCCACAGTTCTAGTCCGTAAGTCCAAATAGGTTTCAGTATTGTCTTGTAGATCAGTAGCTTGTTTTCAATGGAAAGTTTAGATTTTCTGCTTAGTAGTCGGTATAGTTGGCCGTATCGTCGGTTGAGTTCTTGTCTTTTGAGTCTAGTATGCGGGTTCCAAGTTAGTCTTCGGTCTAAATGAAAGCCAAGATACCGGACTGTGTCTGAATAAGGAAGCTGGATGGAATTAAAGAGTACTGGTGGACAGGAATTGCGTCGGAGTGTAAAAGTAATATGTTGGCATTTAGATTCATTAACTTTAATGCCCCAGTTATTACACCAGTGCTCAATCAAGGTGAGATGACTTTGGAGATTTAAGGATGCTATTTCGGGATCAGAGTTGGATGATAAGATTGCGGTGTCGTCAGCGAATGTTGCAAGAAAAGTATCGGGATGAACAGGGATGTCAGCAGTAAAGAGGATGTAAAGCACGGGACCCAAGACGCTGCCTTGGGGAACACCGGCTTTAACGGAGTAGATATTGGAAAATTCTGTTCCACAGCGAACTCGAAAGGAGCGGTCAGAGAGGTAGGATCGGAGTACTAGGTACAAGGACTGAGGTAAATGGATTTTAAGCTTGGAGAGCAGTCCGGAGTGCCATACCCGGTCAAATGCCTGTGCAATGTCCAGAAAGGCACCCGAACAGTATTCCTTGTTTTCTAGGGCTGAGGAAATATGATCAACAACTCGGAGTCCTTGTTGAACAGTAGAATGTTGAGAGCGAAAACCAAACTGATGGGAAGGGATATTTTGGGATTGTATAAAGGGTAGGATTCGTTTCAAAAGGATCTTTTCAAAAATTTTTGAAAGGATTGGGAGTAGGCTGATTGGTCTATAGGATGTTGAGCTATTGAGAGGTTTTCCTGGTTTTGGGAAAAGGATAATAGTGGAGTGTTTCCATAACAGAGGGAAGTGGGTGGTGCGTAGGATACAATTGTAGATATATGTAAGGAATATGACTGCTTTTGATGGAAGTTGTCGAAGGATTTGAGGTGTAAGGAGATCATGTCCAGGAGCTTTACGGAGGATTAGTTTTTTTAATTGAAATTTTACTTCGGAAGGATGAATAGCTTTTGGCGGCAAGGAAAGTGGGATTGGTGATGTAAGGAGTTCTTCTACTGTTACGGTGTGGGCAGGATGGGATTCCGGATGTGAAATAAATGTATTGGATAGGTGAATGGCGAACTCCTCAGCTTTATCTTCGTCAGATGCTGCCCAGGAGCCATCACCTCGTCGGAGAGGATGGGAAATGCGGTGAGGATTTAGGATTTTTGTTGTGGTTTTCCAAAGGGAATTGTCGCGAGAAGAGAGGGAGGATAGGTAGGAGTTGAAGGATTGTGATCTGAAGGTGGCTAATTCCAGTTTTAATTGTTTGCAGTAGTAATTATAGGAGCAGCGGTCGGTAGGATGTCGGGTTCGTTGCCATAATAATCTGGCACGGCGTTTGGTGCGGATTAGGTTAAGGAGGTGTTGGGGTAGAATGGTCTTTATAGGAATTCTGGAGGAGTCTTTTGGAAAGGAGGCAGTCCAGGCGGCTTGTTGGATTGTGGTAGTAAAGGAATTTACGGCACTATCAAGGTCATCGGGAGTTTTGAGGGATATGTTGAGATCAATATTATCGGAGATTATTTGGCGGAAAAGGTCCCAGTTTACTGGGCCCCTAATGAATGACGGTGGAGAAGGTTTGGGAACAGGTTCAAGTGAAACATTAAGGATTAGAGGACTATGGTCAGAGGAAAGTTCATTTAGACGTGTAATGGAACAATTGAGGGGACTTAAGCCGCTGTGGATAAAGAAATCAAGAAGATCAGGATTACGGTTGGGATCTGTGGGCCAGTAGGTAGGAGAGTTGGGGGAAAGGAGGTGAAAACGTTGGGAATTGAGTGCAGACAGCAGGGTTCGGCCACGAGAATTCGTGGTTCTGGAACCCCATTGTTGGTGCTTGGCATTTAGGTCTGCACCCAAGATGAAGTGATGTCCTAAGGAGTCGAGGAGAGAACTGAATTGGGCATTGGATATGGATTGGTTAGGAGGGCAATACGCTGATGCAAGAGTGACCGGAAAGGAGAAGGTTTTTATCACGATAGCGGTGGACTGTAGGAAATCATGTATTGGTAATGGGAGTACGTGATGGGAGAGGGATTGGTGTACAATTACGGCAGTACCGGCATGTGCTTTTCCGTCAGGGTGGTCAGTACGATATGTCAGGTATTGTGGTATATTGAAGTGCTGTTTAGTGGTTAGTCGAGTTTCAGTAATTAGTGCCACATCAATGTTCTTGTCAAGTAGTAAAGTAGATAGTTCGTCTGTATGATTTCTAACACCATTCGCATTCCAAAGGAGAATGGATATGGGTTTAGGGATGTGAGTCATTTAAGGATTTTTCAAAGGAGGGATGAGGTGAGATACGAGATTCGTGAGGAGTGATATGAGTGGAGTAACAAGGGATTTGAAATCGGTGAGGAAAGATGCTAACAAACTTGTGAGATCTGTTGTATTTGAAGGAGGAGGAATATGAGGAATTTGTTGTTGGTGGTTAGGTATATTAGGATGAAGAGGATTTTGAGGTTGGGTTTGAGGTTGTTGTTGTGGCAGGGCTTGACATTTATCGGTTAAAGTCTTACCTCTAAGTAGTTGGGAGAATGATACATCATTGTTTACAATTCTGGAAGGCTCTCTCTCTCTTCTTGTTCTTAGTGCTTCATCTTGAATCCGGTTTTTCTGGTGTCTGGTTTTGAGATTCTTGTAAATTTGGCAGCCTTTGTAGTTGGCCGGGTGTCCCTCCAAGCATAGGGCACATACTGCTGGATCTTGTATAGGTTTGGTGCACTCTACAGATTTGTGCTGTTCACCGCACTTCACACAACGCGGCAGATGGTGGCAATATGTCTTCGTGTGGCCATATGTCTGACAATTATGGCACTGCACGATGTCTCTCTTGGGATATGGCTTCTCAACTTTCACCATTGTGTAGTATATTCTTGTGATATCATATATTTTTTCGATACCTGGTGATGGCTCCAAGTCCACGAAAAACAATGGTAGTGGGATCCTATTTCGTAATCCTGGCTGCTCTCTGTCCTCCTTCAAAACGTTTGTTACCTGGCGTACATTGAAACCAAGCGTCGTTAGTTCTTCTTTAATAACTTCAGTGGGGGTTGAGGAATGTAAATTTCTTATCACTACTCGTAAAGCTCTTTCCTGCCTCAGCTGGTAAGTGTGAAAATTCGCATTTGTTTCTGATAAGTACTTCACTATTTTTCGGTAGGCTTCTGCAGAATCAGGTGTTATTTTGGTGTCATTGGTCCTGTTAAAGCATGAATAACTGCCAGAGCAGATTTTATTTAGTTGGGTGCAGAACATCTGGAAATTTTTTATATTTTTCACAAATATCGGAGGAGGCTTTGGTTCTCTGGGTATTGCTGCAGACTCCATTACTTCTCTGTCATTTTGAAGCACTTGGTAGGGGTTTGGAGTAAAGAAAGGTGATTCTTCAATCGTTTCTTGTGCAGACGTACCTGGTTGGGGCTGAGGTTCTGGTTCTGAAGTGTTCATTTTGGTCACTGGAGGTATTTCTCGTAGGCAGCGACGAGTCCTTTGTTTGGCTGGTGAGCTAACTCCGTCTGACCGAGACCTCTTGGGCACCTTACTGGCCATCACTTGCTGATCATACCGCATATCATAAGAGAAAAACAAATAAATAAATAAAAAAAATAAAAAAATAAATTTTTTTTTTTTTTTTTTTTTTTTCTTAAAATAACAAAAAAAAAGATGCCAACAGTAAATATCAACTGCTCTGATATACACTTTAACTGTATCACGTGAATAATCAGAGAGATTCCGCTATAAAATTGGTAAAAACTGGACAAAACTTATAAAGATTTGTTAGTGTATATTATTGCATTAGGTCATTGATCATATCATATACACCTATGTGGTGACCCCGATTGAGTAACTATACCTACATATTAATATCCAAATAGTTAGATAAATTATAGTGAATTAATTCAGAAGAGGTTTTGACATTCTCACTTCAGAACAAGAAACTAAAGCCCCCGTTTTAAGCTCACAAACAGTGGAGACTCTTTGCAGCGAGCAATAGGGTGCAGCTGCCATCTTTTAATAAGACAATGACAGTGACAATGAAGTTTTTTTTTTACAATTAGAAATATTTTTTTCCATACATAGAGTGAAAAACAGTCTAAAAATATTTCAATATGCAGTGTCTCAATTAGACAGTGAAATTATGCTTGAGGTTATTGACTTAGTGGGGAAACCCCTGATGGAAGATGAGATTTTCCGATCGATAGCATGGGGAATCCGATAACGGACGCATCCGTAAGTTATTAGATGAACAACAGCTTGGCGACAGACGGCCCTCGTGCTTCTTGAGAGATCTCCAACAGCTGGGGCTACATTGGTTACTGCGGATCTTATAAAGTCCATTTGGTTGTACGGACTACCTCAAAGTATGCAATTAGCCCTAGCGGCAAACGACCAGGATGACTTGGAGATACTCAGCGTAGGAGCCGACCGCATAGCCGAGATAGGTAAGACTCGATTCGGAGAAGTTGTCGCGGTAAAAGTAACTCGCCACTCTACTTACGGAGACCGATTCCTTTCCCCTCTTAATGACACTTTCAAATTTGTTAGCATCCCTATAGGCTTCAAATCGTTTTTACCATATGTTGTTAAGGTTAGGTCAGGTTCGATCATTGCTGTATGTGAAAAATATCGATCTTTCGATTCTTTTGATATCACTGTTACATATGATCCGGTGTCTACTTGCATTGTAATTTTAACTCCATTTATTGACAAATCAATGACCAACGGTTCCGCCTTGGATTCCATATTCATCGAATTCGCATTCGATAGTTCAATGTCCCCTAAAAGAATTTGTTCTAAGTGAAAAAAATTTGTTCATTATTACTATCGTCTTCTGTTTTTATGCCCTCTTCTAAATAATTTACTCTTTGCTTTACTCTTTTGTTCCGTTTTTTTAGACACATTTTTTCCAAATGCCCCCTGACATTACAAAAGTTACACACTTTAAATCTGTGAATACATTCTCTAGCATAGTGACTGCTAATCTCACCGCAACAAAAGCAACTAAAATTGTTTTTATTGCTATTAAATAATGATGGATGTGTATTACCTTTTTTAATTAAGTCTTCTTTACACTGCATCTTCCCATAACTAGACCGCCCTTGAGTTAATTCTAGACTTCTACCTTTAGGTGATTTGTTGCTGTCTGTATTTCCTCTGATATAGTTTACCTGCGAGCACAGGTTATCCGATGAGTTGCTAGTGCCTGCGGTGTTAGAAGCACTTTCCATTGCCAGTTCCCTGGTCTCTGCGATTTTCAAAGCATCTGAAAATGAAACCTTCTCTTTTCTAAATAATTCAACTCGTGTCTCATGATTCTTTATACCGCAAACAAATTGATCTCTTAGTGACATCTCAACATCGGGAAAGTTACAGTGCATAGATGCTCTTTTCAAACGGGCTACAAAATCATTTATTGTTTCTGGCGCTAATTGATATATATTGTTAGATTTATGTCTTTCTAATAGTACCGAAGATTTAGGATTTAAGTGCTTAGTCATTAAAGAAACAATTTCTTTAAATGAAAGGTCCTTTAGGTTTTTTGGTATTGCTAAATCTCTAATAAGAATGTAGGTTTCTGCACTCACCTTTATAAGTAGTTCTGGTACATACTTACTTTCTTCAATATCATGTGCAAGGAAATAAAGTTCTAACCTTTCAATAAAAGTGTCCCAGTCATCCTCATGTAAACGAAATTCAATTTTACAGGTCTCCATCCTGTAGCTTGCTCCTTTATTCTTTGTTTTAACTTGGGTTACGTTTTCACTAATTTCCTTGCTTTCTTCTTTATTTTCACTTCTCAATTCCTGCACTAAAATTTGCCTTAACCTATCTACAGAATCAGCCTCATCAAAAACCAAACCTAATTCTTTTAGTTTTAAAATCAAATCTTGTTTCTTTAATTCATACACCCACGAAGTACCTTCATTACTTTTATCCTCGTCGCCAAATGTTAAGTACTTGGAATACTAAAGCACAAAACTACAATATTAGTGAACACAACTGTTTTATTCATTGTCAAAGATGACTCTGTAAGGTTAATACCACCCAATCACTAATTGGTATAATCGATATATCACAATATGTATGTGTGTGTGTATGTGCATGTGTATGTATATATATATATATATATATATATATATATATATATATATATATATATATATATATATATATATACATATATATATATATATATATATATATATATATATATATATATATATATATATATATATGTGTGTGTGTGTTATGTGAGTAAGTATTATATGTGTAAATATATACATATATATATATATATATATATATATATATATATATATATATATATATATATATATATATATATATATATATATAAACTTACGTCGGTTCGAACTAAGAAAGATAAAAAAAAGAAAGAAGGCTCGAAATAAAACACGTGGTTGCTCAAACTAGAACTAGACTGACTTTATTCTCTCCGTAATGCTATATATATAGCATTACGGTTTGTTTACAACTATTGACTAGGATTAACTAATATATTAACTTACATCTAACCATAACTCCCCCCCCGCCAGTTTATGAACACTCCTCATAAACTAACGCAGGGTTAGTGATATAATACATAACAAAACAAAATAAAATAATCTTCCTTGGCGTTCCCATACAGCCATAGCACAGAACAAATAAAATTAGACATTTTCCTGCAATAATAATAAAAACTACAAATGAAATAAACCTTCTACACCGTCCTTCCATAGCTTGTAGGAGACAAAAAAGAGGATATACCACTTATTTACAACTGACCCGATTCTATCGGAAGTTTCAATTGTTCTATGTGAACGGTCCGCCGTTTCCTAGGATCGTTCAGACTCTGAATGGTACAAAGATTGTGTTCGCGAAGTACGATCACTTTGAATGGTCCGTCGTAGCGTGCCAGTTCTTTCCCCCTATTAGAACCTACCCTGCGATAGACTGTCATCCCTATCTTCAAGTCCCCCATTCTGTCCTTGAGGTTCAGATTGGCCTTCTCCACCCTTTTCCGTTTTTCCCGCTCTATTTTTCCTCTCGTTTTTTCCCATACTTTCCTTATCTCTGCCCTGTTACAAGTGATCCGTTGAGCTTGTGCTTCGTCCGTGAGTGTTTCCATCCAATCCCGTCGCCGTATATTTACTCCAAACAATACCTCGACCGGAGAAAACCTGTAACGGAATGGATTGAATGATTATAGGCCGCTACTGCTCTTTTCATGGCTACATCCCCTTCCAATCCCTGCTCCCCTTGATAAATACGTAGGTGGTCGCTTAAAGTGCTGTGCAACCTCTCTATATTTCCTCTGCCCTTTGTATGTCCTTGAGTATTAAAATGCCAATCTATATCCAATCGTTTAACCTCCTCACGTACGGTACTGTTGTCGAACTCCCTCCCTCCGTACGACGTTATGCGATCAGGCACTCCGTAGAACTGGGCCCATGTTTGTAGAGCCCCCACAACCGCCTCCGACAGCTTATCTCGTAAATGATGTGTCATTGCTACCTTGCTGAAGAGGTCGATCATTGTAATCCACTTAAATCCCCTCCACGTAAATGTATCAATTTGCACATCTTTCAATGGCATGTCTCCCGTAGGGGTTTCCTCCTGTAATCCTTGAGGTGGCCGTCTATCGTATTTAGTGCGCGCGCACACTTCGCATCTCCCAATGATTTCGGCAATTGTCTTCCTCATGCCATCCCAAAAATATCTTCTGCGCAACGCTTGAAACGTTTCCTGTTCTCCCCTATGGTTGGTCTTGCCCTGGTGATGTGCCAGCGTTACTTCCTTTTGCTGCTCCTTGTCCATCAACGTTTCAACTAGGTATTTGCATTTAATGAACGACCTGTCGACACCTATTTTCTCTGCTCTCCAGAGTCTTTTGATCTTCTCCCAGACGGTCGCATTGCCCACATACAAATGGTGAGTTTTCCCCGACTCTGAAGCGTCGTGCAAAGCCTTACAGATCTCTTCTTCTTTCACCCCTGGTTGGGACCAAATGGTGTTAATTTTCTTCTTGCCGTATTTACTGAAGTCGATCTTCATGAGCCCCGACGTTCTGGTCTTCCAAATGACCTGTCGTCTCTTATCGTTGACGATCTCCTCACATTCCTCCATGTCTGTAGACCTTTCGTCTACCGAGCTCTCTTCTCCTCTCGACTCCTCTGCTCTCACATCCCCGGGTTCCCCTTCACCTTCCGGTGTCCACGTTCTTAAAAACTGCCGCACGTCCCTCGACGACTCCCCTTCTTCCTCCTCGATGGCATTTATCATGATGGCTCTGGACAGCCAGTCCGCTACCACATTTTCCTTACCCGGCTTGTACATGACCTCCATATTGTACTGGCTTAGAAATTGCTTCCACCGAGTGACCCTTGCTGACGATTCCTTCAGATTACCAACCCATTGCAGCGGTCTGTGATCGGCATATCTTGTAACCTTGCCATGCACTTTCTTACATTGTCCTCTATTGCTGGCGTTATTGCTATCTTCCGGCCTTTCTTCAGAAGGTTATTAAGAGGTGCTAAATACTCCGCCATTTCCGGCACGAACCGACGGTAATAGTTCAGTGTTCCCAATAACCTGCGGATACCTTTTACATCCCTGGGCATCGCCATATTTTGTATTGCCTCAACCTTCTGTTTATCGGGCCTGAACCCCTCCTTCGAAATGGAATGTCCCAAAAAGGTTATCTGGTCCTGTCCCAAAATCGACTTTTCCGCTAATAATTTCAACCCAAATTGCCGTAACCTGTCGAATACGCGCCCTAAATGATCAACATGCTGCTCTTCATCCTTGCTAAAGACCAAGAGATCGTCCATGTATACTTGACAGAATTCTTCGTCTAATCCCCTCAAGAATTCGTCCATAAATCTCTGGAAAGTTATGGGAGCGTTCTTTAAACCAAATGGCATCCGAGTAAACTCGTAATGCCCCCTCTCGAAAGAAAACGCCGTTTTGTGTTGGTCCCTGGGGTTCATACGAATTTGGTGGTGGCCCGCCTTTAAATCCAAAGTACTAAAAATGGTTGCCCCACTAAGCCTGTCAATAATATCATCAAATCGCGGAAGCGGATACTTCTCGTCTAGGGTGTTGTCATTGAGCTTCCTGAAGTCTACCACCACCCTGTACTTCTGCTCTCCCGACGACGTCTTTTTCTTCACCGCCCACAGGGGACTATTGTACGGTGACGTGCTGTCCACGATGATGCCCTGCTTCTTCAAGCTCTCGAGCTCCTCCTTGATATGGCGACGTAAAGCCTACGGGTAACGCCGCTCCTTCACGTACGTCACCTTTTCCTGTTTTAACGGAATCTCATGTGCTGTCCTCCCCGTTGCGCTCAACACCTCCCCCTCTTTAAAAAAAATATCCTCGTATTTCCTCTTTATCCTTTGGGCCCAATGTTCCGCTTGTTCTATTGCCCCAATGTTCCCTTTTCCTCCCACTCTCCCTTTTTTACACCGGTACCTCTTCCCTCCCATTCGCACCCTCCAACCCGTTCCCCTGTAATCTATTCTTGGTCTCACCCTACTCAATAGATCACATCCTATTATACCCCCGTATTCTCTCGGCATATTC